TCCATCGGCCCATAAAAACAAAAAATCGCCAGCGGCCCACCGGGCAAATGCCCGGTACGCCCGATGGCCAGTCCAGCTATGTCAGCAGACACTCAGTTTTTACATTTTTCTGGGTTGAATACTAGCTTAGTGTTGGCTGTGCAGATGTTAGAAAAGAGGTGAATTTGTGTTATCAGCATATGATGCAGTTGTGTCTATCCTGGATGCAGTTTGCACTTTACCATCGCGTTCTCGTCCTTTTGTGCAATAAAAATAAAAGTCCACATCCACACTGGAAACTGCCCAACTATTTTCCTCCTCTGACACACAAACTGAAATCAGCAGATTGTAGCGTGCAAAAACCGATAAGTGGGACAGATAGGTAGGCAGACGATTCAAAAGAACTGAACTACTCGGATCTCAATTCCCATTCCTACACGGACGTGTGATTTTCTACAGTAAAAAAAATTCGCACAGCTGTACAAGAGACTCCACGTTTCTGATGACATGTCTCTTTCCTGCAGGAATATCCTTCACACCAAAGGAAGTTGGTGAACACGTGGTCAGTGTGAAGAAGAACGGGAAACATGTGACCAATAGTCCGTTTAAGATCATGGTGGGTCAGTCGGAGATCGGAGATGCCAGCAAGGTGAAGGTTTACGGTCAGGGGCTGGTGGAGGGACACGTGTTCGAGGTGGCTGAGTTCATTGTGGACACAAGGAATGCAGGCGAGGATTCAACCTTCATCCACACAATCAGAGCGCTGAAGCTCAGGATTTCAATTCTAACCCTCAATGTCTGTGTTTGTGGCAGGTTATGGAGGTCTGGGTCTGTCCATCGAGGGTCCCAGTAAGGTGGACATCAACTGTGAGGACGTGGAGGACGGGACATGTAAGGTCACCTACTGTCCCACAGAACCAGGAAACTACATCATCAACATCAAGTTCGCCGACCAGCATGTGCCAGGTACGAAAAATTATTCCAAGTTTGATTTGAGGCAAATTAGTTTGTAGAAAGAGAACGTACCACTGCAGATGGTATAAAAGATGAATGCAGATGCCTGAAGTAGTTCTTCACAAGTACAAAACATTTTCCTGTAACTACCATAAAGAGTTAGATAGATCATTGGTTCAGATCCGATGAGCTAGGTGTTGATCTGATGCTCTGGACAAAGCATGAGGGTCTAAGAGTTTCGGCTTTCAGTTGTGATGTGATGTTTGTGTGAACAGGAAGTCCGTTCACGGTGAAGGTGTTTGGTGAAGGTCGGATGAAAGAGAGCATCACCCGGAAACGTCAGGCACCCGCCATTGCCACCGTGGGCAGCACATGTGACCTCAACCTCAAAATACCAGGTGAGCTGTGATATCTGCCTCCTCCTCATCCTCCTCCTATCGGCTCCTGCCCTCCCTGCTTCCTTCTCTTCACCTCCTCGTCTTTGTCCACTATTTCCTCCTCCTCCTCCTTCCTGCTTCTCCTCTGGGTCGCAGGAAACTGGTTTCAGATGGTTTCGGCTCAGGAGCGTTTGACCCGGACGTTCACCCGCAGCAGCCACACCTACACCCGGACCGAGCGGACGGAGATCAGCAAAACCCGAGCCGGAGAGACCAAGAGGGAGGTGCGGGTGGAGGAGAGCACGCAGGTCGGAGGCGATCCCTTTAGAGACGTATTTGGAGATTTTCTAGGGCGAGAGAGTCTTAGTGGCTTCAGCGGGATGCCGACCGGCAGCCGACAGCCGCTGCAGAACGGTGTGTGTGTGTGTGTGTGTGTGTGTGTGTGTGTGTGTGTGTGTGTGTGTGGTAAGTGAGAGTGGCTGATTTAACAGAGTGTTGTGCTGTAATGGCCTCCCATGCTAACCCTCTAACCTGCTCTGATTCTTCCAGCTCTCTCACTTCTCTTTGTCTGCATTCTGCTGTCAAAATGTCTGGATTAAGGTAGTATTGTTATTCAGTCTGGCCTGATGTGGGCACTGTGCCTAATCTCAGATACAGCAATAAAGAAATGTGTTGGGTTTATAGTTGCAGTAAAAGGAAGGAGCTGCTTACAGGTTCAGCAGTCATATCATTGGTCAGATAAAAAATAAAAATTAAAAAAAACTTTAAAAGGCTCCAACAGTACAAATACAGCCCAGAAGTCCAGTTCAGAGACTTCTGGGCCATGTTTGTACTGTTGGAGCCTCTAGTGGACTTTTGAGGAAAAGCAGGTTTTTTTATAGGTTAATGGTTGCTGTTGTTTTTGTTGACTGAGACGTGGAAGAACTGATTTCTGTTCATCTTTAAGACTATTTTAAAGCAGAAAGACAAAGACAAACATCCATTAAGCATATTAGTAATACGCACTCTCAAGGAAACATTTTAAATTTGTAAAATTATTAAAAGATTGCAGTTCAAGTATTTATCATCACTATTTCTTATCAAATTCTTCATAAAAATGTATTTTCACTTAAATGTTACTATTGAATGAGATGATTTGTTCAAACTGAACTAACAATTGAAAAAAGAAAAGAGGACCTTGGATTGATTTCTGAGGAGCTCCACACCTAATTTTAGCTACTAAAAATTAAAAAATAAACATGCTATAGACCAAAAACCTACAAAATCTAAATCCGTGACATATTAACCAGTGCATGATGCGAGATTTTTTTTTTTGGTGCATGCTATGTAAAAACTGACTATGAAACATCTGCTGGATGAATCATCTGATCCTCAGTAACATTCTCCTAATCCTGTCAGGTGAGGCAGCTAACCAGGAGATGACGGCTCAGGTGACGAGTCCTGGAGGAAAGACAGAGGACGCAGAGATCATTAAAGGAGAAGAGAGCACCTACAGCGTCCGCTTCATCCCTCAGGAGATGGGACCTCACACTGTCAACGTCAAATACCGGGGCCAGCACGTCCCTGGGAGCCCCTTCCAGTTCACTGTGGGGCCCCTGGGAGAGGGAGGGGCCCACAAGGTCAGAGCAGGAGGCACTGGGCTGGACCGCGGAGTGGCAGGAATCCCAGGTGGGCTGTAGAATTTACATTTGTTCCTTATCTCTTCTTCTGTCCTTATGAACCGGTTTCTTTTTGCTTCTTCTGTAACAACTTTGATTTCATTTGAATCTTTGGATGAAGAAGCATGCTGACATGCTCCTACATGTCAGCAAGGTTTGGTCACAGGAAACAAAACATCCATCTGTGATGTGTCAAATGAACTCTTGAAACACCCATGCTCCTAATTTTGTTTCACTGATGATATGTCTGCTATTTCAGTTCAATTTTAAAAATTTTCTTTACAAAAAAGCTCCTCTAGTGGCCACCATAGGAACTGCAGCTCTCACAGTTTGTGTTGTTTTGCAGCGGAGTTCAGTATCTGGACCAGAGAGGCTGGTGCTGGAGGTCTCTCTATTGCTGTAGAAGGACCCAGCAAGGCTGAGATAACATTTGAAGACAGGAAAGATGGATCCTGTGGAGTTATTTACGTAGTGCAGGAACCTGGTAAGTCTCAAGAGATATTTGGCTTAAGCCTCTCAGATTTATTTCAGCCAATGAAAGAAGCCTAACCTATTTCTGTGTGATGTTATCATTTTAATTTTAATACTTTTAATACTCTCTGACAGATTATTGCGGTGTTTATTTGTTTTTTGTTTTGTTTTTATTCCTCTGATTAATTGTATCACTCTTTTCACCATAACAGCAAGACAAATTCCTTATTTGTGTGAAAATTTGACAATAAACATCATTAGGATTCTGTATCTGATGGTAAAGGGTTTGATCTGCATACAAACTTATATTCCACAAGGTTTCTACCTACATAGCAACAAAGGCACAAGCCTGGAATCACTATTTGAATTTTATCATTTCAAATATTCGCCCAGGACCAGTTTAGTTCAAATCCATCCATGTCACAGTATAATTATTGTAATTGTAAAAGTGTAAGCGTGCTCTGCCTCTGGAACGATATATAAAAACAAAAAAAAAAAAAAAAAAAACAGATTAAAGTTAGAACTCATGGTAAATGGGCAACTTTTGAAAAACAAACTTGCAGATTAACAGAAATAAAATTAGAACTTAAAAACAGTATAAGGCTACGTTCACACTGCAGGCGAAAGCGCATCAAATCCGACTTCTTTTTTTTTTACTTTTTTTTTTTGACCCTATGTGACCCATACCCGATCATGGTATGACAGTGTGAACGGCACAAATCCGATCTGGGTCACTTTCGTATGTGGTACTGAATCCGATACATATCCGATGTTTTAGAAAGCGACTGCTGTTTGAACGGTCAAGTCGCATTAAATCCATCTTTTACGTCACTGACACAAGACAGACACCAATTATCAGCGCCGGAGAAGCGCCCGATAAGACATCGCGAACGCTTCCTGGCCATCCAGTGAAACTGCTGGGAAGACAGCGTTGGAGAAACGTGAACATTTTATTTGTACTGTATAATCTGCAGATTATGACAGAAATCTGCAACTATCCTTTGAAGCACCGCTCCTCTAAAACAGCAATAATGATAATTATTAGGTTATTTACATTATTATGTAAATAACAAAATAACTTAAAGCAAAAATTGGGAAACGTGAAGTCCGAAGTCTTTATATTAAGGGCCATCAGTCAAACAATACTGTTTGCTCTGGGTCTAAACAGAGCGCATTGTGTATGACGTCTTCTTTTGCGCATGCGGGCCATTTGAGGGTTCACACTAGAGCGCGTTTGCTGTCACATTTTATTTGTAGTGTGAACGAGCAGCCAAAAAAATCGGATTTGATCAAAAAATCGGAATTGAGCATTAAGACCTGCAGTGTGAACGTAGCCTAAATGTTTTTGAAGTTCCTTGTTATAATGTTATATTGTTTTTGTTTTTTTTTATCATTGGATCTGCAAATTGTTGTGATCGTTAAAGTATTAAAGGAGAAAGTGCATATCCCTCCAATAATAATATATTTCTTTTGTTCAGGTGATTATGAGGTCTCCATCAAATTCAATGATGAACATATCCCAGACTCCCCCTTTACCGTCCCCATCGCCTCACTGTCAGATGACGCTCGCCGCCTCACCATCACCAGCCTGCAGGTGAGGAAAGATCTAAATCTACCAGCTGAGCTTACAGAAATGAAACCCTTTGAGAATTATATTTACTGTGGACAGATTTATTTTTAGAGTCTCAATAACTGTGCTGTGTTGAGGATTGTATTTGGGTTCATAGGTGTGTATATTTATCTCTGAATATTTAATCGCTGTCCTCTTTCTTTGTATGCAACACATTTATTCTTGAGATATAACAAATGTGTGTACAAGTAGGGAAAAAAAACAAAGTCACAATATGTTAAATTGTGAAATTAAAAAAAAATTATGCTGGTAACATTAACAGAAAAAAGGCTATGGAGGATCTCACAAAAAAAGACAGAAATAAAACTAAACTGACAAATTTCTATTTTAAAAATAAAAAACTAAATAGTTTTGATTAAACAATTTATAGTTAAAGCCAAATCTTTAAAACATAGGCATAAATATAAAAACAGGCACTACAAACTTTATTAATCAGACCACCAAAGAAATCTTGTAAAAACACTTAAATGAGTATCTGCAGTACTGAGGAAGCATATTCCATTTGTTTAAAATAACCGAGAACTGCTTGTTGAACACTTTTAATCTCCATGGTCCAAAGCACTGAATCCCTTTTCTTTACCAGGAGATGGGTCTGAAGGTGGGTCAGGAGGCCTCCTTTGCAGTGCAGCTCAATGGAGCAAGAGGGCTAATTGATGCCAAGATCCACACGCCATCAGGAGCCACCGAAGAGTGTTACATCACTGAGCTGGACAGCGGTAAGACCCCATTATAGCTGTTAGTGAAGTGATCTTTAGGACTTTTGAGTACAATTAAAAACCAAACATGGATCCACCACGATTTCCTAACCCAGTCAAAATTACATTTGGAGTTCCACAAGGTTCAAGTCTGGGCCCACAACCTTTTAGTTTTTCAGGTTCAGATCACTTATTTGCTATAAATACAAGACTGTTATTTACTGCTTAACTATTCATTTTAATTTGTAATTTTTCAGAGTGTTTGGAAGTTTAAATCTTTCCTGTATTTAATCTTCATATTAAATACAGGATTATAGAGTCATTCGTATAAGAAACCTCTTTCTCAAAGTCTGTATTTACGGTGGTTATAGAACTGTTTGTAAATCAATGATTTCCTGTTTCTACAGATCAGCATGCTATCAGGTTCATCCCAAAGGAGAATGGAGTTCATTCTATAGACGTTCGTTTTAATGGCAGCCATGTCCCCGGCAGTCCCTTCAAGATCAGAGTAGGAGAACCGGGTCAGGTCGGAGATCCAGGAATGGTGTCTGCGTTTGGGTCAGGTCTGGAGGGAGGAACCACAGGTATATACAAAAAACAAAGTCTTTAACTTTGAAGTCATTTGATGAAGGAGAGTTTTAATGAGCGTTCTCACTTTATTTAGGCATGGCATCCGAGTTTATTGTCAATACTTGTAACGCCGGCTCAGGAGCACTGTCCGTGACAATTGATGGCCCATCAAAGGTTAAGATGGATTGTCAGGAGTCTCCTGAGGGGTATAAGGTTTCCTACACACCTATGGCTCCTGGAAGCTACATGATCTCCATCAAGTATGGAGGACCCCAGCACATTGTAGGCAGCCCCTTCAAGGCCAAAGTATCAGGTGGGTCAATGACCATTGACCTTTTACTGAGGTCAGTCCGTGAGTTTTCCTGATACTCACGGGTATAGTTTCCTGGGGTTTCCTTGGAAATGAGGATGAAAGTGATTCGGTCTTGTTGTGTACAGTCTGCATGCTGCCTTCAGGCGTAGTGATTCCTGGAAATAAAGCATGATTCATCACTTTCCACTGATTCCTCCAGAGATAAAGAGCACATTCAGTTCTAAATAAAGCTTGTTTGGAACCAATTGTTTTTATGCACTTGTAGGACACCAAGCTCTACATAGCTGGTGATACTGACCATATGACTCCTTTTCCTCCTTTTCAGTAAACCTGAAGGGATGTCCACATACTGTTGGAGAAAGCTGACTCTAACTCTTCTTCTTCCAGGACCTCGTCTGTCAGGTGGCCACAGTTTGCATGAGACGTCGTCTGTTCTTGTGGAGACCGTCAGCAAGTCAGTAGCGATGGGCAGCCCTTTTGCCTCTCTGCCTAAATTTTCCTCAGATGCCAGTAAAGTCATCTCCAGAGGCGCCGGCCTTTCAAAGGCCTTCATTGGTCAGAAGAACACCTTCACAGTCGACTGCAGTAAATCAGGTGACCATTTCGTCCCTCCTGTCTTTCGTGAAAGTCAAATCTGAGATTTTTCTTCACCACTCACGATATTTCCGTTTTTTTCCTTGCAGGCACAAACATGTTGATGGTCGGTGTCCACGGGCCGAAGACACCCTGCGAGGAAGTGTACGTCAAACACATGGGCAACAGGATGTACAATGTCACGTATACTGTTAAAGAGCAGGGCAGCTACATCCTCATTGTGAAGTGGGGAGACGAGAACGTCCCTGGCAGTCCGTTTCATGTCACAGTCCCTTAAAACTGAACTCTTCACTGTCCAAGACTGGATTAAAATGTGATCTGCATTATCTGGACTAGTTTATTTTCTTGATGACAGATTTTCTGTTAGTATTTCTGAAGATATGCAGCACTCAGAGGTCCAGAGGTGTCTGAGGTCACCATGAAGGGGAGACTGCATACATTTCCATCTTTTTTTGTGTGTCCACTTCTCTGAACTTTTTCATCACACCTCATATTTAGTGAAAAATTCAAGCTGCAAGTTGCTCTTTTGCTCCCACAAACCAAACAATTCAGAAGTTAGCTTAAACAGAAGAAACAGTTTTAACGTCAGTGAGGGGAAAAAGTGCTTCCGAGTCCTTTATTTCTTATCTCCATCTGTAAAAACAGGAAACTATAAACTTTCTCTAAGAATCCTTATTTCTTACTGATGCTCATCCGATAACCACGAACACTTCAGACCCTTGGACTGTCTGCACTCCAGCCATGGTGACTATCGTCCAAAAATCTGATTGGTCAGTAGATGGTGAACGCTTACCTGCAACAAAACCTGGAGCAACTTTGGTCTGTAGCATCAGTTACCATGGTGACATACCACCTTTATAACCCTGAAAAGACAGAGTTAAACCCAAAGTTAGCTTGATAACTACAGATCCCTAAAAGCATTCATGTTTTCTCATGGATGAGTTTAATGTCTTTCGAAGATATTCTGAGTGAAAAATGGTGTTTAGTTAGCCTCAGCAGGCAAAGTCTCCCCTTCCTCAGCATTCAGTTTCAGGTGAGCGAGAGACTATCTTCCCTCCATGTTGAATCAGATGCACTCGGCAGGTCTCTGTATGTCAGGGTTTGTGCCAGATCGCTCATGTGGCGTAGGCCCAGTTGTGGGATGTGGAATGATCAAGATGAGCTGGGCTGTGACGTTAACAAACTCTTCTGTTTTTATTTATCCTGCAGCATTTTTCTCTCCTTTGATTTTCTTTGACAGAAAATGGTCTTACTGTTGAGAGAAGCAGGTGATGATGGATTTTTTTTTTTTTTAAACCACAGGAAGGAAGTGAAGTGGCGTTTCCTTTGTGAATGTTGGAAAAACAGTAGCAGACATTAGAGTGACATTTTATAGTGATTTTATATGTATGAGTGAAGCAAAGTTTAAGTGTTTGATATGTTAACCTTCTGTATTGCGACACTGTGCAGGCATAATAAAAGTTTATCTGTGAAATCTCTCATCTCATTTTCATGATGGAGAGCAATCTACTGTGCTTTTCCTCTTTCCTGTGTTGTACAATAGACTGCTGTCTGATCTCATTTTCAAACTCTTGGTATATAATGTCATGCAGAGGGTGTATTCTATTATGATCGTGTCAGACAGAAGTCCGCCCACCTGCTGTTCAAGCCTTCTGATTGTGAGGGGTAGCCAACCAGAATAAAAGTTGTCCTCCTGGGGGAGGAGTGAAACAGCTTGTTTCGGACAGAAAGACAGATACAGGCCCATTATCTGAGACTCGGGTTACAGCTCCTTCAAATGGAAGCAGATGAAAAGAAATTCATAAAAAAAAATCTAATTTGTTCAAATTTTATGAAACACCAAAGACAAAAATGGTAAGGAAGAGTCCAATACTCTGATTAAATAAACTGGGGCAATGTATTTGAAGTTGTTTGGAGACGATTTCTAGTCATATTAGACATTGTTATTTAAATGGCTGGAAGATGAGCAGTGGGAATATCATGTTCAGGGTTTAAGCAGAGAAGCTGCTGAATGTGATCTGAGGGCATCTGTGTGACTGTGGTGCTGCAAAGGACCAGCAGGTGGAAGCAGAAACCAGTAAAAACGGCAAATAGAACCCGAGAAACAGTCTTTGTTTTCAAACAAAGTCTTTATTGTATTTTGTTTTGAGAAAAAAAACACAATACAGACTATATGAACCAAAATAAATACAATACCAGATTATTAAGCATGCAAAGATAGTTAGGAATTATCAACATGTTTTCTCAGTAATATTTAAAAATAAATTATAATTATGTCACATAGGTCAATAATAGCATCACAGTATGTTTTAATAATACCAGCCGCCATGCTTTCAGCAAAGGATATGAATGTTATCAGGTAGCACGGGATTTTCCAATAGATCCTGTTATGGTGTAGCTGATATCTTCAAGATGAACGTGACCCATGACTTCTCTTATCCAGTGGCCAAATCTTGGGGGGAAAGAGTCCTATTTAAAAAGATCCGCCTGGCCAACAGAGAAGAGAAGGTGTTCATATCACTCTCTGTGAAGTTTCCCACTTTGAAATTCCTCCTGGAAAGGCTGAACTTCTCTTAATCTGCTTAATGGATGTCTGTCTTCTTGTTTCTGCTTTAACAAGAAAAAAGAAAAAAAAAACAACAAGAACAGACAATAGTTCTTCCATTATCTTAATCGGGCTGCCCAGCTACTCAACTTCTGAAGGCTGATCACACAGGAAGTGGCGAGTGCTGGTTGAGCGAGCAGCCCAACGTTTGTGTTGAACTTGCTGCAGCGCTCTGCTTGTACTACGACAAGTTTTGCACCTGTCAATCTGAGATATAGACGTCATAGCTCACCGAGGTCAAAGTTCAACTGAACCTGCCAGGGGCTACAGTCAACTTAGCGGGAAACTGTGCAGCGAAGGTACTTCGTACGCGAGACGCTGAAGAACTAAAGCCTGTAGTTCCTTTGATGTCCAGCAGGGGCGCCAGCAGTGAATCAGTCTCATGTTAAAATGCTCAAAATTACAGCAGAAATAAACATGCTTACAGCATTTTTATATCTCACTGTTCAAATTGGACTGAGGCTTATTTCACATGTGGCTCATATAATCTGTGGATACAGACTGATTACCAAGTTAGTTAGCATTATGACACTTGTTTCGCTTCTGGAAATAAAAAAAAAGACTATAGTAGTAGGTAAAGGGAGCTAAGCTTCAAAATGAGGATGTCGGGTTTGGTAACTAGTGATGTGTGATACCACTGATTGTCTTTCCAATCCGATACCAAGTAATATTCAGGGTGGTATCGACGATACTGATCCGATACCGATACTTTGTACAAAAACGTATTTTTATTTATTGTATCTCAAATTATAGTGTCATAATAATTACAGGACATCAGATTACTTGTTCTTATCACTTAATAATGCAGAGTTCATCATATAGAAATAAAAAAACTGAAGTTGTGCTATTTGAACACCTTGCCTGCCTGCAGCACTAAAGGACTCCGTGAGAGACGTCTGTCTCGCCCTAGCAGCACCTGTCCCTCTCCTTTTCAGTTCACCTCAACATACACTCGTCATATTCTGTGATATGATTTACTCTGAGGTGTTTGACAAGGTTATGTTGCCACAACCATACATGCCAACCCTCCCGATTTTTCCGGGAGAATCCCGAATTTCAGTGCCCCTCCCGAAAATCTCCCGAAGCCACCATTCTCCCGAATTTTTCCCGATTTTCCAGCCGGACAACAAAATTGAAAAACCATATCGCAGAATTCATAGTGCGGCCCAGCCAATTCCAGTTTCCAACAATGGCGGCAGCTGCTTAGATTTAATATTACTCTTATTTCTCTTTCTGGGTCGCAAAAAATCTTTTAACATATTTTCAGGTGAGAATGTAGCTGTGTAAACTTCAAATATCTGAGCCGATCCAAACATCGTTTTCAAACCCCCGCGGTCTTTCGCTACTCGGGTTAAACATGATATAGTCACTTTGATAACTTAAAAATGTTATTGTTTGGCTTTTTCAGTGTTTTATTTGTTCGTGACTAAATCAGTTTGGCTGAGATTAAAGTTATTAGATTAGATTAAATTAAATGTAACTTTATTAATCCCTCAGGAGGGTTCCTCCGGGGTTTTCACACAGCTGAATAAACGTCAAACAGAAAA